AGCAACACGAGCAAGTGCATCGCCATGGCCGTAGAGGCCTCCGCGATGCGCGTTTTTTTTTCTGTGAAGAACCCAGCTTAGTTCAGAGGGGCGAAAATTCCGTAAAATGAAACTACGTCCTGCAGATAACTTACGACGACGACCTGAGGTGCATTACTGGCGTAGTGCAGGCCAGCATGAGAAACAAATCGTACGCCGTCGAGGTAAGTCGTTTGTTAACATTATTATTATTGAGGTTGTAAGGTTATTAAAAAATTGCATGTCTATCGCAATTTCGCATTTTTTTTTATACATTAAATTTAGTGGATGTGCTCTTTCGGTGAATATCTCCATCGAACCCGCGATGAGAGTACAATCTGTAATAAACTCACCTTATTTTTTTTATCCAGTTCTTTCGCTTTTTGGGGTTTTGCAGAAATCTGAAGAAACTGCAAGAATCTTTCTCCACGCGATGGTTACAACCAGGTACGAAGCACCCTCCAATAGCGCGAGTCCGCAAACAAAATTTGGGATCTCAAACGATCGCCTGAATTGCTTTTCTCTCGGGTGCATTGCGACCTTTTAGCAGACGATCATCTCGAGCGACGCCCGGACTTTCGATAAACCATATTTCGCATCGCTCCGTGCTATGAATTCTTATAAGTGTCTGAAACTCATTGTATTTCAAACAAATGGAATATCTGAATTTCGTCTTTATTAACCCGATTCAGACGCCGGCGCCGGCTTGGCCGGCGGGCGTGTGGCAGATGGCATTCTTGCATTCGTCGTCTGCTGCAGGCATCTTGAGAACCGGAAGTTGAAGTCGTAAATGTTTCAGAAAACAAGCGATTACCGGCACGCTTCTGTCGAAACATATATGACATTCAAGCTTTCTATATCTGATTTTTAGAAGTTTGAAACCTATTCCCGATTTTTGAACGGTCGGGTTTTCGTGGCGAAACCTAGCCACATGTATTTGTCCATAACAACGACCCTAGCAACGGTTTGTTTGGACCCATGACGTCACACTTACGGTGTCAATTGCCTCGTGAGATAAACATGCTTTTTGGTTCCCGGCTCTCGACTGTCTGTACGTTCACTGCTCTGCTTAGCAAGAACACAGAGTGGACCTGGTCGTACGAACAGGAAGTCGCCTTCGATGCTCTCAAGAAGCTGCTGACGTCCGACCGTAGTATGGCAAAATACCACCCAGCCTACCCAACTACGGTCTCAGCAGATGCAAGCTCCTTCGGCCTAGGCGCGGTGCTGCTGCAGACTCAACCAACAGGAGAGAGACGACCTGTCGCTTTTGCGTCAAGATCCCTGACAACAACTGAGCAGCGCTACAGCCAGACGGAGAAGGAGGCTTTGGCGGTCACCTGGGCTGTACAGAGGTTCGACGAGTATGTGCGTGGCAGCTCCTTCGATGTTGAGACGGATCATCTGCCCTTGGTCTCCCTTTTCGGAAAGATGGAGCTCGACGTCTTGCCACCGCGGATTCAACGGTTGCGGCTGAAGCTCATGCGGTATCAATTCCGAATGCTGCACGTTCCTGGAAAACTACTAGCCACAGCCGACACACTGTCTCGAATCCCTTGCAAGGCCCTCGTCGCGCCAGGAGAGCTGGATGCCATCGAGCTTTTCGCAGCTAAAACAGTGGACGGCTCCTCTGAGGTGCTTCCAGTTCCCATAGAAGATCTCAAGATGGCTCAAGCATCCGACGGTGAATGCAGTAGGCTCATCTCATTCTGTCAGGGCGGTTGGCCATCCAAGGGAAAGTTACCTTTGCACGTTGCAAAGTATGCACCCGTATTGGAAGAACTTTCAGTCTGTAATGGTCTTCTGCTGAAGGGAACCCGTATCGTCATCCCAGCTGCACTGCGCCCGACGATACTTGCCTTGATCCACGAAGGCCATCAAGGTATCAACCGCTGCAAGTCCAGAGCCAGTGAGTCAGTCTGGTGGCCCCAGATCAATGCCAGCATCACTTCCCTTGTGGCGAACTGTGAGCAATGTGCCTCGTGCCGAGTCAACCTGGCGGAACCCCTCTGTGCCACAAGTCTCCCAAGTCTTCCGTGGGAAGTCCTCGGCATCGACCTCTTCCACCTGAACGGCCAAACCTTCATTCTCCTAGTTGACTACTATTCCCGGTACCCGGAAGTGGTGACGCTGGGAAGCACGACGGCAAGGAAGGTCATTGACGTCCTCAAGAGTATGTTTGCTCGTCACGGAATCCCCAAGACTGTCCGGTCTGACAACGGTCCCCCATTTTCGTCGCGGGAGTTCGCCGGATTCGCAAGCTCCTACGGCTTTGCACATGTGACCAGTACCCCAAACTTCCCCCAGTCAAACGGTGAAGCGGAGCGAATGGTTCGAACCATTAAGAACCTCTTTCGCAAGGCCAAGGACCCGTACTTGGCGCTCCTCAGTTACAGAGACACGCCAGATGTCACCGGCTACAGCCCAGCACAGCTGCTGATGGGCCGCCAGCTTCGAACGCGGGTCCCAAAGAGGGAGGAGCTGCTACAGCCTCTTAACCCGGGACGAGACCTGGTTGTCACCCGAGACTCCGACTACCGTAGAAAGCAGACAGCAGACTTCAAGAGCCGTCATCGAGCCCGTACTCTTCCAAGACTTCAACAGGGCACTCGAGTTTGGGTTCAGCCTGAGAGGCTGCGTGGCACTGTCTTAAGCCCGGCGCAACGCCCGAGGTCTTATGTCGTTGAGACTGACAACGGGGCAGTTCTGTAACGCAACCGGCGCAACTTAGTGCCCTACAGTCGAACCTCGGCTGCACCGTCTACACTGGCTCCCAGCGACCGGAGCGAATCTTCAACGCCTGGCTACCCCAGCTTCCGGCGATGGTTCAGCCTCGGGTGGACCTGGCGACTCCCCTCATCGTGTTGTGCCTCGTCTGGCATCACCACCAGGTGTTCGTGGTGACGGTACGGGCCAACCCTACACGACCCGTTCTGGGAGACAAGTGATCGCTCCCAAGAGACTCGATCTGTAAGACTATGTTTGTTTGTTTTTTTTTCACAGCCAAGGTGTCCGGTGCATTCTCAAACATTCTTAAGGGGGGAGATGTTGTGGGCGGCGCTAGTGCCAAGTTTGGACACTTTCAGTAATTGGGTTGCGAACACTGTGCCCGCGTCTTCTGTAAAAAGCCATTGCCTCGTGAGATAAACATGCTTTTTGGTTCCCGGCTCTCGACTGTCTGTACGTTCACTTGGCTCAGTTGCTTGCTTGCCGTCGCTGGTGGGCCGTGCAGTCTGACCGCCGGCCACAGCCCGGCACGACAGTTATGGCGTTGGACGTTCATACAAAGTTGGTTGGTTTCTCAGCTTACGACTCTTGGCCAGCAGACGACAGCCGGTTCCCTGGCGCAGTTACACACACAATCCCGTGACGTGGTGTCACGTGCCTCGCTCCGGCGCTCTTATTGGGTCGCAGGGGCTGTAGCCTTCACAGTTCGCCAGGTTATCGTGTAATGGAGTAGATTATATGTTCATCTTTGTGATTCAAATATTTTATAAGATACGTTTTCAAAGTTTTGCAGATAATCGCTCAGGGTGCCATGCTGAGGAACGTTTAGGAAATAAATATTACGTGATTAGCCACTATTATTAATTGTAACAGTTAACTTACCAACGCTCATAGAGTATTTCTAAAATATCGTATGAGCGCAGGTAGGTAGGTAAAATATCGTATGAACGCAGGTAAGCGTTTGCGCGCGCTGCCCATCGGCAACGCGCGTAAATGCTTTTTTTTTTTAGTGCGCAGTTTTTAGGCGCCCGTTTCCGGCTTGAGCGGCGTCGCCGTCGGCGTAACCGCGAGTCGCATTATGGGACGTTTCCCCATAATGACGTCACACGTAACGCCATGTGTGACGTCACGAGGGCGACGAGGGAGAAGGAGGAGGCGGAGGAGGAGGAAATTTTTCCGCTAAATTTAGCGGAAAAAATTCCCCGCAAAATTTAGCGGGAAAACTTCCCTGCTAAATTTAGCAGCAAAATGTTACTTCTAAATTTAGCGGGAACATTTTGCTGCTAAATTTAGCAGGAAATCTTTTTCGCTGAATTTAGCGGGTAATGTAGCGAAAGTTTTCCGCTAAATGGTAGGGGAGCAAGAGACGAGGAAGGGGAGGGGAGGAGGGGCACACTCTCCCCTCCGTACCCTCCCGTCCTCCTCGACAAGAGCTGCGCTCTAATTTGGCATTACCGGGAGTTGTAAACGTCTTTCATTTTTTAGAGTGCCCATATTTTTATGATGTACGAATTTTTGTGCCGCCATACATTTTTTTTTGTGAAAATATTTGTGGATTCGTTTGTATCATGACTAGGCAGTAGCATGAAATATGAAGTTAATTAAAATGTCGACAGCCATTCTTTGTTTGATCTTATCTGAAACCATCATGTAGGAATAGTGACCAAGCGACAGGTTCGCAAGTATCTTCATTTAAATAAAATAAAATAAAAACGAAAAGTAGCGTGTTCAGACAAATTCAGAGTGGCCGCTGTGTGGCCTCAGACTTGCGAAATTTGCTTGGTCATTAAGATTCACCTTCAGTATCTTGTAATTGTGAAACAAAATCTACTCGATAGAATTATCTACAAAGTGGGGTGGACGGTGGGGTTCTAGGTCTGTGAAGTGCTAAACACTGCAGATTACGCGAAATATATGGAACTAAATTGACTCACAAGAATCAGACATTTTGTTGTGGAATAGACCCTTTTCAAAAGTGCGCGCCTTTCAGTAGCTATAGCGTCGATTATTTGAGGTCGACATATTTTGGGCACGCGGTATGAGCAAGCATTGGACACGAGTACTACGTCAGCGCTCGGCGCGTACTCGGGTCCGAATGTACACGAGCGTTGCGTCAGTGCTCGGCGTGAACTCGGAACCAATCACACACCTCGTGAAGGACGCGATGCCCAAGTTATGGCGGTGTTGCGTGATGGGTTTTTGAAAGGAGTCTAGTGTTCGGCCGATAGGCGTCGGTAAGCCCCAGCTGTTTGCAGCCCACCCGAGCCGCACCAGGACCCGGGATTTTTCCTAGGGGAGGACATGCAGCAGAATCTGATCTACATCGCTTCAATTCCTGGGCACGGCAGCACTCAGGTCCGAATGCACTGGCTGCTCGATCTCATCAATGCTAGGTAAGCGGTAATGCTGCGTCTGCGTATGTGTAGAGCACGCGTAAGACACACTCGAAGTACGAAATAACGTAGGTTTTGTGCCTTATATGACATACAATGAAAGTAAATTTTGTGCCTTAAGCAATAGGTATATATTTTGTGCCTCAAGGGGTGAAATGAGCGGTGTCTGGTTGAGAAAATAGAACCCTGCTTTTCGGCACGCATAAATAAATTACGCATCGCAGAAATCTGAAACTCCGTATGATTTTGACGATGTTGGCGGCGTTGGAATTAGAAAGTTTGAACTTCAAGAACCTGGATCGAGAGATAAATCAGTAGAGCTAAATGTCTCTGTGAGCCGACGTCCACCTAGACCTATTACAGCATTCGTAAACCTGTGGCGTTTATTTTAGCGAAAACAACTTGTCAGGAAGAAAGACAACCTTGTTTTCTTTCTTGCTGACAAGTCATTTTCCCTGAAATAAATGCCACAGGCGCCCACAATGCCATTTCTAGGCTTGACGAATGTTAGGCCTAGTTGGATGTGGGCTCAAATAAATATCGTTTCTCAATGCGACGACGTCCATCTAGCCCTCCCCTTCCCCCTCCCCTCCCCTGAATACAGTTGCACAAGGCACCGTTCAAGTGCTCATTGAATGATGCCTTGCGCGACCCAGTGAAAATGCTGCTTGATTATACACGAACTCCACTCTGTCACGTTTCGGCACGGTGGTGGCGCGTCGAGTGCACTTCCGGTCTGGGGCCCAAGGGCGGAAGTCCCCATGCGAGACTTGTATTCCTGCGTTGTTTTGACAGAGTCGAGACAAAAACCAGCCTTCTCGTCAAAACGCCGCGACTGGGGCTGTACCAAAAGAGTGGAGAAAGGTCTGAAGGTCAGTTTTCATGTGCTCGGTTCGTCCGAGAACGTGGATATGTGCTGTGAAAATGGAAAACCAGACGTCGTCGGACCACGATTGCTTGGGCGGGAAGCATAGGCGTGCGCAGGATTTTTCATTAAGGGGGGGGGGGGGGGGGCGAGGTTTCCCCAGAGCGCCCCCGCCGCCCCCCCCCCCTCCCCCCCCCCCCCCCCCCCCCCGCTTTCTATCAACGCACTTCCACTAGTGTCCTTACGCTCATATTGTAGTGCTGAGACGAGACATAGTTATGAAACGTTTATTTCAACAATATTGAATTGTAACATATACAAAATATTATTAAGCAGTAGGTTTCACTTTCTTGTGAAACGTCCGCAAAGAAAGGCAGTCCCTGCGCAGCTGAGGCGTCAGTGACACAACGCGCATACAATTTTTTTTATTCTTTCTAAACCAGAGAAAGAGACGACACATATGCCATCTTTAACAGCACAGAATATTTAAAAATATTGCCTCAACGTGACTCTGCTTGTGTGGAAAATATAGTATACATACAGGGCAAACGCATGGGTGCACCTACACATGGCGAAAGCTGTCATATGGCGTCTGCAACGTTCATGCAGAGGACGAAAAGCGCCACCCAATACACAACGTAATAGCAAAGCTTAAAAGCACTAGAATATACCGCAGATTAAAAATATGCGGAACAGCAAATTACAATATTTAGTAATTATTGAAGAAAAGCGCTATGACATGCCATTTTTTTCCTTCTGAGCATCCAAATGTACAGTTGATAATCTTACTTTCTGGCGCTTGATAGAAACATGTAATAGAAACAACAAGATAACACGCACGCATTATGTCATGCTCAACAAACTTTTATCGTTTCATCCTGCTAAAAGCAATTCCTTATTGTAAAGAGGCCAAAGACTGTACCAAGAAACCTACAGTACCGTGCAAAAGAAACAAATTAAAGCGGGGGGGGGGGGGGGGGGGTCGAAACATTGAATAGAAGTTAAGTAAAAGTCCATAATTGACAGTAAAGCACATAGGCGCTGCTCTACCTCACTGGGAGTGAAGGTGGCAATTGCCTGTCTACAGATGTTTTCGAGCTTGTGACGATTGTTAGGGGGGGTTCTGCGTGAGTGCACATAAAGGGATTGCCAGAACAGTGAAGACCACACCAAGAAGGAATGCTGTTGCTCTATGGTAAGAAACGGTTGAAAGGCACCGGCACAATTCTTGCATACAACTCCCTTCAGTGCTGTCTCGTGACCTTGCAGTTCCACAAAGTTGTCTAGGAGGCATAATAAGACGACCCACTAAAGGGCCACACTTGAGATCTCCTCTGGCCTGCCAGTGAAGGGCCAGAATTCTAGCCAATGTCAGAGCAGTGAGTGATCGGGAGCGAGCATGGCTGCCGAAGAATAGCGTAGGCTTCTCTCCCCCCCCCCCCCCCCCCCCTTCCCCTTTGCTGAACACTTTCAACTGATCTTACAAGATCAACCTCAAAAGAGTCTCATATGGAGCTGCGATACGTCGGGGTGGCAGGACCAGGGCTATCAGAGGCACCTAAGTGTGCTATGGCCTGTTTCACTGGACACGCAAAGTACAAAACCAAGTGTTCCGCACATTTTGGACAAAACTGACGACATGCTGTGCGAAGAAGCATAGCTGGTTGTTTATAGTAGACCTTGTCGACGTTGTTCTGAAAATCTTCGTGGTTTCTGGGATCACCTGATAAACAGCATCAGCATCAGGTCATCCGTAACAGCAGTGGAGTGGTTTGGAGGGAGGCATTACCACGATTAATACACCAACTCAACTCTCCTACGTCACGCCGCGGTGGTGGCGCGCCGGACGCACTTCCGGTCTGGGGCGGTGGGCAGAAGTCGCCGTGCCAGACATGCATTCCTGTGTTCCCTTGGAAGAAACGAGACAAAAAAACTGCCTTCTCGTCAAAATGCTGCGACGCGGGTTGTACCAAGAGAGTCTGGAAAGGTTTGAAGATCAGTTTTCATGTGTTTTTGCCCCCTCCGTTCGTCCGAGAACGTGGATAGTAGCCGTGAAAAGGGCTAACCAGACGCTGTCGAACTACGATTGCGTGTGCGGGCAACACTTTGTGGTCGTCAGATGTATTTGCTTTGTTCCAACATAAACGAGAGAAAACCGCCAAGTTGTCCGAACCACCCACGGGTTCAGTGCGTCTTCAAATTCACACGGCCGCCTGATCGTTCGAACTTCGTCTGCTCTTTCAAACGTCTGCTTTTTGTCGTCTGCTCGTTCAAACAAAAGCGGCCCGTAGACCAAACTTTGACCCGGTGATTGCAATAAGAAGTAATTGCAGGCCTCAAAAGACTTAAGTAGGCTCGGTGTAAACAGTAGATACAAGATGCTGATCATTGGTACCAAAGGCCATCACCGACTTGTTACGCTTGGTCTGTTCCCGCTTCCGATTTTCAGTATCGACGTCGATCATCGCCGCTACCTTCTACACTTTTGCAACACGAGCGACGTCGCTACCGAAAATAGCTGAAAGAATCTCATTATGGTTTTGGCGTCCCTTCTGCGGCGTTCATGCGAATGAATCGCCGCACGTCAAATTATTTACGGAAAGTTTAGCGGCGTAACGAGCCTCGATAATTTCGCTTAGGCGATTAAAATGGTAAGACATTGCGATGAGGACGTAGAATCGACAATTCCAACGCGAAAAAGAGTATACAGACGCCGACAACGTGACATTCGAGTGGTTTGTTGACGCGGGACGCGGTGCTTCGCGTACCCCATTACGCATGCGTTCGAACTGTCGTCTGCTCTTTCAAACTTGGCTGCTTTTTGTCGTCAGATCGTTCAAACGACAGCGGCCCGTAAACCAAACGTTGACCCGGTAATTGCGATAAGAACTAAGTGCAGGCCTCAAAACACTTTTGAAGGTTGGTTGGGGTAAGTAGGCTAAGTGGAAACAGATACAAGATGTTGATCATTATTGTTACCAGTGGCCATCACCGACTTGTAATGCCCGATTCTACTTGCGGTTTTCAGTATCGACGTCCGCCATCTCAGCTACGGTCCACGCTTTTGCAGTCCGAGCAACGTCACTCTGAAAACAGCGAGCAGAATCTCATCGTGGGAGTCAGGCCTTAGCGCCCATTCTGCGGCGTTTACGTGAAATGAATCGCCGCACGTCACATTATTCACGCAAAGTTTTGCCTCGTTAGTTTTGCTGAAGCCGCTCAAGTAGTCAGACATTGTTAGGAGGACGTAGAATCAACAATTCCAACGCGAAAAAGAGCACGGGGACTGCCACCGACGCCGACAACAACGCAATTCAATGGTTTGTTTATGGGCGACGGCGGGCTTCTTGCCCACCATCCACCGCGCATGCGCAACGCCGGTGGCGTCCGCTAGGGGCGCTCCGGTTTGTTTGTAAACATGAGTTGGTGTATAAGCATGTTGAGAACAACTGGACTCAGCACACTGTCCCGTCAAACTGTTGAGCACTTGGGCAACTGGAAATAGTTCCATCGTATACACTACACTCTGAGCGCCTGAACTTGAAGGCTTCTACTATGCACACATTTAATTAATTCTACAGGGTGAAACAAGGAGACGCCAGGCTCTTTAAATCGACCGGAAAATTCGGTTTCTTAACCTATCGCGCTACGACTTTGTGCAGCGTTGCCCACAGATGGTGCATTTTTTTTGTAAAATTTGCAAAGAGCGAAGTTACCTGAGGAAAAAGTAAAAAAAGAAAAAGGCTCATTTCCTATGGAAACGCAGCGACGCACCCGGTCTGCAAACAACACGGCGCCGTTTCGCACGCGGGACAAGAGATGGCGCAAGCGGTCGCGACGCCAACTGCCGCCAACGCACGAGCAGACGACGCCGAGAGCCGGCCCTTTAGCAGACAAGGAACTGCAGTTCCTTGCTTTTACCGCGCCTGTCTTTTTTGTTTCTGCGATTGTCACCGCCTGCGGAACGCGCGCCGCTTTTGAGTCGAAAAGATCGTCTGCTAAAAAGGCCTGCTCTCGGCGCCGTATGCTCGTTTGTTGGCGGCGTTTGTTGCGCCATTTCCTGTGTCCCGTGCGAAAGGGCGCCGTGTTGTTTGAAGACCGGTGACTTCGCTGCGTTTCCATAGGAGCTAAGCCT